CAGCCAGCCAGCCAGCCAGCCAACCAACCAGCAGATCTGCCGCCTCGACTGAACTTTAGCGCTCCTCCAACGCCGCTCATACGCCCGCCGCACCCACGGTCCCTCACTCGTCCTTTCACCTCCATAGCCCACAGCCTACTCTACAGTAATACTGGGTCTCGACCTTTATTACACTTTGGATCCCCCAGGTCCGCATTCCTACTGTTGTATTCGAAACTGCCTCTCGCCCAAACCCAATCACTCTTTCGCCCTAGACGTCCACCTGTCTTCCCGATAGACTCACGGCCGGCTGCGCACCGTCGAACTCTCGTCGCCTTCGTCCGCCTCCTACTTCTGTTCTTCTCTGCCCGGCCTTCGCCAAGCCCTTCTGGCACAGGTCACCATCCGCAATCCGTCTACGACGACATTCGCCGGCTCGCCGCTCCAACTACCCTCACATTCCAATCCTTTAGGGACCACCCAGCAACCTCGACGGCCTCGACCCTGCCTTGCGCCATCTCCGCTTTGGGATTGATTGCCCTCGAAACGTCACATCTACAGCCTCCAGGCGGACTTGTTTGTGATCACGTCGGATCACCAATTACACTACCTATCTTGTTCGTCGGGCCATTTCCGACTTTGCTTCCGTGTCTGCGATCCTGGACCATCGATCTTGGCAATTTCTAAATCCTATCTCTCGCCTCCTGGTCTTCTTCATCGTGCAACCTCTTCTAGGTTCTCTCTGCTGGAATAAGCTCACAGCCACAAATCTCAACTGCAAATCTTGTGGTACAGATTGGCGCCATAACAAGCCACCTTCCTCCGCATATCTCTCGTCACCACTGCGGCCGTTCCCTGCCTGTCCACTCGGTGATTATCATCGACAAGTTCACAGGATAGTTTGTCCTTTATGGCCTTATCGTTCCTGCGGTAGCCTACTTCTAGACCCGACGCCTCTTCCTTCTGTACCATATGAGCATCTGGGCCAGTCTTACTGCGTCAGATATACAGTCCCCACTTGGTGTCGCTCTTATTACTTGACCTGGTCCCCTCCCTTGGAAACGCTCCAAGATCTGGTCCGTTTCCCTGTTTCATCTTTTGACTACTCTACTACTCGGCCTGGGACGCGCAGAAGCGTTCCTGACCCTAGAATGATGGGCGTATCACGCTCGCGGAGGCAATCTCTCGAATGCCACGGATGCAACATACCTCCGCCATCCCCTCAACCTTCTTCGGCCTTCGAGGACATCTTCGACGTCGATTCGCCTGTGTCAAGGCCTGTCAGCGAGGCCTTTATGTCTGGAGCATCCACACCAAACGGCACAATAGGTTCTCGGCCGCCATCTTTGACCGAAATCCTTCTCGATGTTGCGTCGCCACCATGGACCCTCAGCGCCTTCATGGCTTACCTCTCGCAAAACCACTGCATGGAGAGTCTCGAATTCACGCTCGACTCGCAACGGTACGCCGCCTTTTACAATGAGATGATTACCAACAACCCGAACTGCACACAAGAGACCAACGACCGTGTCTGTATTTTGTGGGAAAAGCTTATGCAGGTTTACATCATCCCTTGTGCACCTCGAGAGGTCAATCTCCCGGCCCGTATCCGCGATCAGCTGCTCGGCCTTCCTTGCGGCCCAACTCCCCCTCACCCAGCACAATTGGATGAGGCCGGTCGGATCCTCTATGAACTCATGAACGATTCGCTACTTTTACCTTTTCTCCAATCTGTCGCCCCCATGCAGCTTGATGGACCCGTCGACGAGCATGGGCGTGGATCTCGCCGTTCCTCAAACAGCAACACTCGAATGGGCGCACCCGTCCGCTCAATGAACTCCATGCATCATACTGACCCTGAGTCCCTGACTGACGACAGCGACTGTAACTCGAATCCTGGTATGGAGCCCATGACTCCCCCCACCACACCGCCTACTTCTGAATGGGCTTTTACAACTTCTCCAGGAGGTCTTCAACGTGCTGTGGCTGCTCACAACAAGGGTTGGAAGAAGATGGGCGCCAAATTGGGTTTCAATCGCAAGAGCTCACGAACACGCTCCGCCCCTACTTCGTCTCATCCTCCTCCACCTGAGGGATATCATATGCATCACGACTCCTTATGAGGGTCACAGGTCGCGTCATTGCCTGAATCATCCAACGAAGCCCATTGGACTCATGAGATTTCTCAAGAAGCTCTTGAGGCTGAAGGCTCGTACCATGGTCACCCACTGCATAGCAACTCGAATGCAGCGGATGATGGTTGGTACCACAACCCCGGCCTCCAACAAGATGGTGGTTTTGGTGATGGCACGGCCGCGAAATCCGACACCGCTCGAAGCGGTGCGAAGGCGTCTCTCGTGCAAAGGAACATACGCATGAGAAGACGACAGAACAAGCCCCCAGCGCTTGTAACCAATATGCAGTCGGTGGGGAATAAGTACACTCCTCAGTCCCACCAGTCCTCCGCCACATCTTCATATCGTCCTGATCTGCTTCCTCCACCAGTATCTTCCGACTATGCAGGAAACAACAACATCGATAACACCTCGATGCCAATGACTGATGTGTCAAATTACCTGCCCACGCCCACTACCAGCAATGAGGACATGAGGTGCCCATCGACAAGTTCAGAAACGGAAGCATTCAGATACGCTTCTCCAATAGAGGACATGTATGGATGGGATGCTGAACTCGAGAGGCGTGAAGCTTCACCAAGCCGAGACTCGATAAGCTCCACCGAAGGTCTTGACGCCTTTGCTCTCAGCTACAGGCGAGCCAATGGTAGCAAGCACAGCTTGTTGCAGCGAGTCTTCCGCGTTGGCTCTTCGTCATCCGTGGGCAAGATGGAGACAGCAGCCTGAGGCGCTGGGGCTTAAACCTGCTTATAGGCCAGTTTTATTGTTTTGATATTCATTGTTACGACGTCCAGTTTGGCATTTTGCATACATGAGATTGTCACCGGCCATCATGACAACGGTGGCCGCTTACGGCAGGCAAGGCGTTAGTGGGTTCATTATTTGTTATATGGTTTGAATTGCATCGCGCGGGTTGGGGTTTGGAAGGTCATTTTTATTCATTTGCAAGATCATTTGGCTTTGAGTGTACGCACTGGGCCACTCATTCAAAGGGTGTGGGTCTTGAGACTGCATTTTCACGAGGCGAGAAACGAACGACTGGACGGGTGGCAAAGGAAAAAAAAGCCATGAACGGCCCGGTCTGACGATGACGATTACGGCCTTTCGGTTTCGGTTACGATTTTGGATTAATACGAATGGGTACAAAGAAAATAAAGAGAAGGACTCTTGTGTCTAGTTAGCCATGATACCCCCATCCTTCCTCAACAGGAGGGAACGTAGACTTAATGTCTTAAAACATATTACATTAACAAAACCCCGCTGTCTTTACTCTTGTGTGGCTAATAAACATGTGAAGAAACAGACTTCAGGATGACCCCAAGGAATGGCCCAACGCCATCAGTAGCAAGAATGTAACACCACAGAAAGTCCAATTGAGCAAGCCAGGGACAGTGGTAAAGTTTCGGAATGTATTAGTCTGGAATGTCAGGCCGAATATCAAGCCAGACGCAAAAAGACAATCTTTGACTTTGGAAGATGAGGTGTTCCAACATTCCAACTTGCACAGGTCAAGCACACAAACCTGACTGAATCAATAGTCTTTGTATATATTGGTGCGTCGACAACTTAACTAATAAAAAGGGAACTGATGGATAGCTAGGGTACTCGCTTTATCGCAGGACATACCTTTTATGATACTCCATCGTGGAGGCTATTGCCAGTGGAAGCTGGCAGAAACAAGCTTCCACGATCGACAGTCGTGTATGAAAAGCTCGAAGGGTGGCATTCAACTTGTTCTCACTCTTGCGCGCATCCGCAGTCGCTCTTGCAAAGTTCTGCTATCCACTAAGCTGCCCCCCAGGACCATGCCACACAATTCTTTGGATAGTGATCCAACATTAGTCGGTCGGCTTATCGTGACGTGAATACATCTGCCATTCCAGCGAGCTGGCAAAATCAAGCTTTCCTTGCTCAACTTGCTTACGTGTCACAGTAAGCATGGGCTTCGGCAAACCCATAGACTCTAAGTAGGCAACAGCTAAAGGTTTGTGTGAGCGCGGTAACCTAGTCATGGCAGATACAGATACAGATGCAGATGGGATGGGACGTTAGTCATAGGTACGCACATTCTTTCCATTCAAGATCCTTTCGTTGACGGCTCCACTTGAGCTCTTCAGCCATGATGTCTATTACCTTAGGGAGGGCTTCGAGGGCGGCCTGCGCATTGAGAAAGGCCAGTCGCGTGCGTCGAGCGAGAACATCAACGGCCGTCTGGGCGTACTCGTGTCGAATAGCATATCGAATCTCGCCATCAACAAATGGATAGAGCTGAGAGATGCGTTCACCGCGGGCGGGAAAGCGCTTGTCAGTCAGCTTGCAAAGTGAGGCAACAGTCCAGGCACGATCACCATAGGACTCGGTCAAGTGTTTGGCGACCTCAGTCTCAACCCCAAAGTGCTGGATAATAGGGATGAATAGTGTTGGGCTAAAGCCGTGAGCACCAACTAAACGAACCTTGTGCGTCTGACATTTGCCATCCAATATTGCCCCATCGTCAATTAGATCGGTGCCGCTGACGCGAGGTGCATCTGTAACAGGCCGGGGCTCGAGACGAAATTCTTGAATGGCAAAGTCTACGCACTCCTCTGCCATTTGCCTATAGGTTGTCCATTTCCCGCCTGCACAAGTCAACAATCCAGAAGCGGAGATATCAATCAGATGGTTTCGAACAAGGGACTCAGTGTTCTTGGTTTTGGGATCTTTGACGAGCGGGCGAATACCGGACCAGGCTGCGAGGACATCACCTCTGCGAACATTTATCTCTGGGGACAGATAGTGGCTGACTTCGCTCAGGATCCACTGGATAGACTTCTCGTCGGGTAGAGGATTTTGTGTGATAGTCGAAGGGGAATCGGTGGTGCCTGCGATAGTGTTGCCTTGCCATGGGAGGAAGAAGATGACCCGGCCGTCAGACGTTGACGGATCGATCAATCCCATTTTTCCTGGACTGAAATATCCAGGGAGAACGACGTGAACTCCGGATGCTGGGGCCACAATTTCCTTGCAGCCTGGATCGTCCATTTTTCGAACAGAGTCAGTAAAAGGCCCCGTACAGTTGATGACACTCTTTGCGTGAACAGTTATGGGCTTGGCTGGTTGACCATCCTTTACGGAAACAAGATCCTTGACTATTGCGCCGCAAAGGCTTCCGTCACTATTCTTTATAAGTCTTGTGACCTCAGCATGATTGACAACAGTTGCACCATAGAGGGCAGCGGTCATTGCAATAGAAACATTCATGCGCGAATCGTTATGTGCACCGTCGTAGTACACGAGAGCACCGACAAGATCCGTGGGCTTAAGCATAGGGAAGGCCTCAAGTGCCTTACTTCGAGTCAGAAAGTAAGACCCCTCAATGCCTTCACTGCCAGCAAGAAAGTCATAGAACTTAGTGCCGGCCCAGTAATAGGGAGCTTTCCACCACTTATCGAGGGGCAGCATAATGGGGAGCCAGGAACTCAGATGGGGAGCCGTCTGTAGGAAGTACTTGCGCTCTTTCAGAGCCTCCTTGACGAGCAAGTACTGGTTATAATCCAGGTTCCAGACGGCTTTCTCGAGATAGCGGACACCTCCATGAACCAGCTTGGTACTCTTGCTGCTCGTGCCGCTGCTGAAATCGTCACGTTCGACGATAGCTACTTTGAGGCCACGAGTAGCAGCGTCGAGGGCGACACCTGCACCAGTGGCACCACCACCAATGACAAGTATGTCATATTGCTGGACTTGAGGGTGTGAGCTCCCTCGGAGTTGGTCTAGCTGCTCTTCGCGTGTTCTGACGCGAGGAAACCGAGGAAGCTTGAAAGTGCCATCGGCACCAAAGGTTGGAGGCGGAACTGCGGGTGATGTATGGCCAGTGAAATCACGGGGACGGTAGCTATAGATGAGAACAGCTGCAGATGTAGTGGCAACGCCTGGTAGCCAGAACCGACGAATGAGTCCTCTTGGCACGCCTGCAAAGGCCGGCATTTGTGGCAATAGTACAGTACAAGCTTCAGCGGTAGTCTATTCAGAGATTTGGCGCGATACGGCGATGAAGAAGCTGTGTGGTATCTGGACCGAAACTGTATGCGAAGTTGTGTGTCTGTAAGATTGAACATTTAACTAGGTATTGGATTGTTTATGCGACATTGATGGGGATGATGTCTCGGTCGTACTGCAATGGAGCGATATCGCAGATCGAATACACCCGCAACTACCTACCTACTATAGAGAGATACCTAAGTAAGTACCTTAGTTGAGGAAGAAAGGGAACAAAGAAGTGGAAGAATGAAAGAAGAAGAAGATATCGGTAGAGAGAGTAGAGGGAGAGGGAGAGGGGGGGAGAGAGGGGGAGGTCCTCACCTTCATATGACGAAACGTGTTGGCACATGTAATAAATCGAGACAAGACCTCCCTCTTAGGTTCGGGTTCTCTCCTTCTCCTTGAGTCTGCCCTGGGGTTTGGAGTTGGTTTTGGGGTTTGGAGTTGGTTTTGGGGTAAGCGCGATGAACCGCACCAACCTAAGGTTGATAGGTAGGTAAGGTACCTTACCTTGGGTAGTACCTACCCAAGTTAGTACTTACGTTAGTATGGCAATAGGTAAGCTTCTCCACCAACAATCAATTAACTGTAGGTACCTTAGTACTTTAGTAGGCAACTGACATCTCTTCGTCTTCTCATCTCAATCTTGAAGTCTCAATTGTGGAGTGAGATTCTTTTGCTCCATCTGTAGCAATATCTTCTGTGTCTACCTGCCTGTCTGCCAGACCATCCATTGATCGAAGAAACCAAACGCCACCCACTCCTCATACCAAACCTCGCTGCCCAGCACTCCATTGAAAACAAGCAAAGGAAACACGCAATGCAGTGGAAATGCACGCGTACATTGTAAACAACATCCACCCGTCGACCCAGTCCAGTCTCTCCCTTCCCTAGCGACTCTCAACCGTCTTCGCAAACAGGATATCAACAAAACACGTAACATAGCTGTGCCCCCCTTTACCAGCCTCGATATCGTTGGATAACTGGGTGCCAATATCGTTGGCGCCGAAATGCCCCATCGACTGCAGCTCGATACCTGCTGCAGCTGGCGGTTTGGATATTGTCCTCTCAATCGTTATTGTGTCGGCCTCAGAACCATGACTTGGCTTCCTTGCAGCCGTCTCACCTCCTTCTTGTACATCTACAGTAATCTCTTGAAACACCATGATGCCGCCATATGATGGAGTTGCTTGTAGTGGCTCCTGTCGCGGGACGTATGTGCTCGATCCTTCCCCTGAGTCGATTGACTGCCTTCGTGCGTTAGTCCCTGGCGAGCAAAGGTTGATGGTCGAGCTGGACCTCGCCGAGTCATTTGATGATACAACGTGCCCAGATATTCTTGAGAGCGACTTTGCTCTAGTTCGTAAACTTCGAGTCGTCTCTGATCGCCCGAACGGCCACCGACTGGACAAGGAGGGGCCGATCTTGTCTTGGGAGCCCTCTTGACGCTTCGCCGTCTTCGCGATGTGCCCAAACTCCTGGTGCAGCCCTCGAGTAAACTCCTGATAGGACTGGGTTGATACCTGACGCATTCTGAAAAAGCTGAGGGGAACAAACTCGCAGTTGGGGCTTGATAGTACGGAATGAATGGGAATCACCAGTCTCACAGCTATCATGGTTGCCTCCAATCGCTTCTCATCCCCACGACAAGGTATGCGGAATGCTGTGGATGTGAGAAGTGCATCCTCGAGCAAGGGCTCCTGTGTCGATTCGCGCAACGCTTTGATGGTGTCTGCAATCTGCCCAGCGAACTCAGCTTCTCGATCACTCCGTTGAGAGTCTTCCTTGCACTTCTCCACGATCTTGGATACTGGCACGTTCTCGAACCTCCTGAGGTAGTGCATTTGCCAGTCTTCAAGATTCTCAAAAGGGAAGGGCATCGATGGGAGCAAATGGCGTGCGCCTTTCCTCACCAAGACTTCGAAGCCAGAACTGACACGAGCTCGGACAGCAAAGAAGCCCAGGTGGGTTCCTTGGCGAATGTGATTGTGTTCACTTGTATATGTAGCCATCTCCCTCAGTTTTGTCTCAAAGTCATGGGTTTTGATCTGCATACTCGATTTGATGAGGTCGCTGACTTGATGCAACTCGGCAAACCGATATCCAGTGGATATTAGCCGCTCAGTATCGCGAACCGACTCGGAACGGCGGACAAGGAACATCAGAGATCCGCGCCCATAGTCGTGGTTCTCCATATGCAGGCCCTTCTCCGTAATGTCCAGGCTGTTCTGAACCTCCTCGTTAGCGTCACTGCCTTCCAAGCCTGTCCCAGCATTTGACTGCTTGCGCAGTTGGGGCCGAGGCCGTCTACCGTTGGCACCTGTCGGCAGAATTTGATCCCACAAGACTCCGATGGATGCCAAGTCCTCCCGAAGTCTATCAGCAAGAGCAGCTGCGGCGAGACAAAAAAGCTCTCTAAATATCATGTCATAGCTGTCGATAGTCTCGCCGTGTTCGCTCACAAGCTGGATGCCTCGTCGCCCATCTTTATGAGTGTGGGAATGTGGAAGTTGTGACACATGTTGTCTCATTCCCCCAACAAGGCTCCATATCATGTTCCAGTTTCTTGATGCTTGGTACATCCAATGGAACAGCGGGTGGCCGGTATTAAAACCCTCCTTGGCATCCTGCTATGTTCAGCATCATTTGCTACAACCTGGGCGGAGTCCAGTCTTACCTTTTCCAGGAAAGAATCAGTCACCACGGTACTTGGGATGTATCCATCAGGGTCAACGAGAATCCTTCCTGCTTTATCGAAGACCGCTGCTGCCAGGGTGATCTGCTGGGCACGAAGGGCGGACCTTCTCATGTTCCTAGCTCGAAGAATAGCCGAAGTGGCAATGATGAAGCAGGCTCCTAATGACTTTTCTGTGTTAGCACTCCTTGCTCTTGGTCTTACAAGAGACCGGGGCATCCGTGTACTTACCAAACAAATGACAACAACGACGGTCCCTGTCCTCGATGGCTCGTTGCCGTTGGGCTTGATGCCCTTCAGTCGATAACGGGTGCCCACAGAAGCGCACCAGTGCATCCCAGACACGGCACCGGCGAGGACAACGGCTGAGATGACTCGCTTCCACCAGGCATTCGCCCACATCGACCGAAACACGAAAAACATGGCCAATGCCACATTACTTGCAACAATGGCGATGATAGCCGATCCGATGACGTATGACGGCTGGTACACGCACGTATAGTTGTTGATAGAAGCATTGCCAAGGTAGTGCATCCCGCAGACCGCAGTCCCGCAGAGTACACCACCTGCGACAAGCCTCCACCAAGAAACGACGTTGTTGGTGCCAACGGCCATGAAGGCAGCGAGAAGAACTATTATGGGGACGAAGAAAGATATAGCAGTGAAGCCGCTGGAATAGGCAACCTGCAATTCAGGCTGGCCATCGGCAAGATCAATGGCTCTGTTTCCGATGAAGTGCTACAGAAACAAAGAGACGATAAGTCTAACCAGGCATTTTGAAATAAGACGCAATCTGACTTACCATACACCAAATAGATACTCCACCCATGGTAACCGCTGAGCTCATGAGCAGGAGGCTGTTTTGGTCAGGACCCTTGTGTGGAGAAATCTGGGGATTTGGGTATCAAGGTAGAGACATACTGATTGAACAGACCCCTTAAACCTGTTCTTCGATTGATGAGCTCGAGGGTTGAACCAGCGCCGACCAGGCTGACGACATAACTCAGGGCAACGAAGCCAGCATTGTAACTCTGAGGCACGATATGACCTTGATACCGTTGCAGCAACTCTTCTGTAGACATGGTGGCAGGTACGTGGAAGAGCAACGACAAGTTGCTGCCGCCGTATTTGAGGAAAACAAAGATTCCGACAAGACAGGAAAGCCATCTGGGACAACATATGTTCTTAACTGACACCCGCATGTCAGGTAGCGTGGACGAGGACCTGGGGGCTGTTTCTGGTGGAGTTTGCCATATTGGCCTAGCCACTACGGATAGGCATTAAGGACTTGATGGGAGCTGGCCGTCCACTCAGCAGCTGGGGTTTCTGGATCCAGCACAAGGGAGAAGCCTGCATTCTGGTTGCCACAAAGCGACAAGACGTGGACAATGAGATGCTTGGCGCTCAGCAAGAGCCAGAGGTGCTAGCTAGTAAGTGCGATCTCTCTTGAGGGCCCCGAGTCTTGGACCAATGGAGCATGGTGGCCGCCCAGCTGTGGCTTGATAGCTTCCCTGCTTCATTAAGATGACGGCGCTAAGACAAGCCCTGGTTCCCGAATTTCGTACAACGGGCATTAAGTTCTAGAGATTAGTGCCGGAGGCTGTCAACATATCTCACCAACCTGCTAGCGTGATGGAGTTGCGTCCTCGGGGATGACGAAGGGTTGGACAAGAGGCGATAGCATAAAGTTGGTCTGAAAGTCGTCTTCTCGGTTCTACAGGACTAAGCAATGTACCAAGTAGGCTCTGTACTATACTATAGCCAACATCCATGGCGATTCTGGATCTGCAAAAGACATCGACATTTGCTACCAACAGACATTCAAATCATTTTACCAGGTTCTTGGGACCAGTGCTGGAAAGCCGATCATGCTCTCTCTCCCCTGTCTGCCTTCCTGTCAGGGAAAAGTAAGCAAGGGGATGGACAGCTGAGTGCAGGGGGTGTGCTAAGGCCCCAAGATGATTTGGATCAGACCTGCAGGGAGAGCGGGGAACACAGCACGGCATACCGGAGCCAGGTGTCTCATATCACCTCAACCCTCGAGTTTCACGCCTTGCGATTCGTCGAGGCTGGAGTATTCGGGACTTGAAGTTGGAGGCTTGGCAAAAAGAGAACTCATGCCGTTGCTTGTTCACTTTCAGCTAGCATCGGCTGCATTGATGAGCATCAACAGATGGCAAGGGTAAGGGCAAGGACACAGGTAAAAGAAGAAAAAATAACAGGTCATCCAGACCAAGCCAAGGGCGATTGAGCAAACAGATCTGTCGCTTATCTTGCATCTCTGCTTCCATTCCTTTAGCATTGTCCACCCTAACAATGAGATGGATGCTGACCGAACGAGGCACAAATGTTTCCCTCTGAGCCGGACGCACGGGAACCTGCGCTGAAGACAAGCAACTAAGAGGATCCGGCTTTACCATGTTGCCGGGAAATTGCAAATATAGTAATGAGATCATGAGATGGGAATCTGAAGCGGCAGGGGATAAATGTATGTACCCTGTACAGTACAGTATGGGTCTGTGTGTGTGCGTGGTCTGAGCTCGCTCGTTTGTTGTTAATGAACTTTATTAGCGACACAACGTCGATCCAAGATCCTGATATCTGGGTACGGATATCGCAAGCTAGGATTCCTAGACTAGGTAGGTACCTGGTCAGATCTCACCTGCAGTTTGTTGTTTTTGTTCTCCCTCTCATCATTAGTCTCGTTCGCTACGGATCCCGGGTTGCAGAATCCATTCGAGTCTTGATCTGCAAGCCAGTGGCTTGCGGAATTGATAAGCCAACAGCATTTCATGTTTGTGTCACTGTCTGTGTCTGTGTCTGTGTCTGTGTTAGTGTTGTTGCCATGTTACCGAAATTGAGAACAAGCTCAGCTGATAGCAGTTGCAATACATACAACACAGCACAACATAGCAATTAATTTGATGGCGTCTGTCTTGCGTAAGGTCGTTCTTGGAACACCTTTCGGAGAGGGGCGGAAGAGTCGGCGGGCCTTAACCATCTAGAGAGATGGGTGTGCATTGGCATTGTCTGTCTATCTTTGAAAGTTGCATGTGTTTTTGGCTTTGCCGACAGTGTTCACAGCAAGCAAAGTTTGGTGCCGAATCAATTGGTGCAATTGAGGTTTCTTTGGTGACCACTCGATGGCGGCCATGTCTCAAAGCTCAGTGCTGCTGGCGCGATGCTCGACTTTCCCCCATCTTTGTATTCTGCGTACGTTAAGCTTTTTGGTTTCGGTTCTCCCGCCGCGTCGTCACAGCCCGCTTCAACAATAAGCCTCGGTCTCACTCTAAGCACGGACGAGAGGGAGGGGACATGTGTTGCCATGAGGTAGGTAAGGTAGCTGTGAGAATCCTCGGTACTCGCTCGGTACGTACTTGAGATGGTGTCTGAGAGCCCGGCCTGCCAGCCCAGATCTTAGGCAGGAATGCAATGCCACCAACGCTCATCCATTCATCTAGTGGATCACATTAAAGTATCCGGAAGGGAAACCCTCCACCTCCCTCTTGTCTTGCTCTCCCTTTTTGTAAACTCTAATCGCGAGATAGCCCTTCAGACGTTCAAGGATTTCTGGCGCGAGTGTAGCAAGCTGACCATCATGCCATCGCTTGTGAGTATGTACTGTGGGGGAACACCATATCCTGGACCGTACAGTAAATGTCTGGGTTATTGTTTTAAGCCTAACGACTAACGTAATTGTGGCCGGCCCGCTGTAACCAGCGTTTTGCTTTGTCGTGATGTCGGCTGGCTGGCGACGATGAGGGCCCGGGAATATCTCACTTTAGCTGCAGCGCTAGGTTATGTGATCCACAAAGTCAAAGCAATTTTTTTTTAGCATGCTTCAACCAAGGTCTTTCGACGCTCCGCATGTCTCCTCGTCCCATATGCTTACTGGCATCGCCCGATTGATGCGTCTTACGCCAAATGTATATGCGATGATCAAGCCGGAAAGCCCCTGTGTCTCTTTACAGGCTCCGGAAGGCTTCAGGCTTGTTAATGGGTCATAGTGTCGCTTATACCCTTTCCAAGATCCATCGGATAAGCGCACGATCGAAGGGGGCATTGAATGTGGATCTGGGAATTAGCTACATCTGCTTCAGCTTGTCCATCTGGCGAGCTAAGTTGGGCGTTGGGCGGGCCTCGGGGCTAATAGCCGACGCTTCTGCAAGGGGCAAACAGCACTGTGGCATGTAGAAACGCTCTCATTCGAGAGATGCATCCGTGATATGCAAACACAAGCGTAATCATGATGTTTTTAGTGTGGTCGAACCTCGTAACAGGAGAATCCTTTACTAGTTTAATTTGCCATGAATTGGAGGGGTGTGCATGTGTGTGTGTGTGTGTGTGTGTGTGCGCACGGTATATTCAACCATCCAAAGTCAACCTTGGCCCCCAGTGGCCGATCGACTTTAGCCAAAGACAATACGTCTCATTGGATCAGAATTCATATTAACGATAAACGTTGAGTTCACCCGCAGCGTTCTCTGGAGTTTAAAGAAAGCCCGAGCAGGGTCCTCGTAGATTCGCTAATGTGGTGAAACGTAGTGCATGGAGTCAAGGGCGTGTGTGATCTTTAATCACAGAGTCTTCTCACCTTGCGCCTCCGATGGTTCGGGTCCGTCCATCAATTCCCTTCATCAGTGCTGTTTGTGAAGCAGCTCATCCGCGAGTCTTTTCAGGTAGAAATCCCGGATTTCAGATGGCAGACGGTCAAAGCTCTTTACAATCCGGCTGATGTCTTGCCGTGCCTTCTCATACGCTGCCAGATCCCTGTTACCGTACACATCTCGGCCTGTTGAATAGCCGCTGTCCAGGTCACGAAAGAAGACATTGACCGCAACGCTGAGATCGGTGGTTGGGCTAGCAGTATGAAGCCACATCGCTGGGATATACAGGAGATCACCTGGGTTAAGAATAGCTTCGTACGGATTTGTCGTCGACACCAATTCCTGCTTGTCTAGGGCTTCCAAAACATCAAGGCTTGAGCTTGAGGCACCCGGCGCAAATGCCAGATTGTTAACATCCGTTGGGGGAAGGAGAACCATCCGCTTTGATCCTTGGATCTGAGTATAGACGTTTGCCATGACCTGAAGCCCTCGGTTGATTAGCCAAACGGGGCAGCTCACAGTTAATCTCCACGTTTACTCACATCGTAGTGTAGCCACATCTTTGCTCGGCCGGATATCCTCAGCACGGAACTGAACATCCGATCCTTGATCAAACTAAGTTCTTCTGGCAATTGAAAGTCGTCGGCAAGAGTTGGGAAGTCGTCTTGAAGATTGGCTGGGGACTCAGTAGGCTTTGCTTCCGAGAGAGCTCGTAAATACACCGCTTCACCTCTAGCGGCCTTGGCCATGAACGCCGAGAATGGCTCGGTAACATAACGAAAGTTCTTGGAATTGAAGTCCATCTTGCCTGTTGAACTTTGACATTCATGCACAACGATCTGGTGCCTCACATTAGTAGATGCGGCTAGGCTCGGGGCAAACTCAGGGACAAACCTCTTTCGTCTGACCTACGCGCTGGACCATGTATTCGGGGCTCCATTTATCCACGCAGCCACCCAGGTCTAAGCTTTCAATGATGACTGGCTTTCTGTTCTCGACCAGTTGTTCAAAGTCAAATTTTGATTGTAGCTTGATTCTTGCAATCGACTTGTTCGAGGGTTTGAGAGTCGGCTGATGCCAATCAATGATGGTTGTTGGATGTGTAAGTTTAGGCGAATCCTGGTAGTTGACTGAGACTGAGCTACAGGTCGCCGGCCGGATATGTGGCATTTCCGAGAGAGTATTCGTGAGATCGATCTTGTAGACGCCGGTATCCCAGAATGTTCCCATGGAGAAACAGGTCGCCCCTCCACCCAAAACAACAAGCTCAGAGCCAGAAGAAACAGTCGCAGAGCCAACCATGAAAGGCAATCGCTTGCCATCACTTCTCAAGTCGACATCGAATACTTCCAAATGCCCATCTTTGACCGAAATGCAACTCATAGATTGGCCTTGTGAAGATGGGTCCTGTCCCACGCCACCGCATACGAAGTGCGAGGACTCCACAGCTGCTGTTTGGGCACCAAAGACTGAAA